TGTGTAGCCCCGCCCCTGTCGGGCCGTTCCTGTGTAGCCCCGCCCCTGCCAGGCTGTGCGTGTGTAGCCCCGCCCCTGCCAGGCTGTGCGTGTGTAGCCCCGCCCCTGCCAGGCTGTGCATGTGTAGCCCCGCCCCTGCCAGGCTGTTCCTGTGTAGCCACGCCCCTGTCGGGCCGTTCCTGTGTAGCCACGCCCCTGCCAGGCTGTGCGTGTGTAACCCTGCCCCTACTGGGCCGTGTGTGTGTTAAAGACTGTCACTTAACACTGGACTGTTTATAGCCATGATGGTAGTACTGAGTAATACTGTCAGTTGAGCAATCTGCTTTAATTCACTTCATTCTATCTCCATAATATGAAATAATTTTAATCATTATCAGGGGAAAAGAGTCTCTGTTACTTTTAGCGCCTTTTCTGGCAGAGTATTGTGTCCCTCTCCACAGGGAGAGGTGTCTGTGTCTCTGAGCTCAGCAGCCTGATCATCACTGATGCTCTGTCCCCACATAGAGAGACATACACAAAATGGGCCTTATAGTTTGGTGGGGTTGCGTTACAGAGCCCCTATTCCTCAATGGCCATAATTTAAATGTCCTTACAAGGTGTCGAGATGGTTCTTGGCAGTGTGAACGTAACTTGGCTCACAAGTTGGACATAGAAGTCTATAGAGAGTCCCCGTCAAGGACGTCGCCGGTCCGGCCTGAACGCGAGCCACACCTCTGCCCAGAAAGCGCTCTCCAGATCGATAGCAAAGCTTTCAGGAGGCCTGGGGAAGATCGCGCCTGAAAGCCATCTGCCAAGGGTTTACTCATAAAAACAGGGGCTGCCGTTAGCAGAGACATTTTCATTATGATTCGTCTCTCATTCATCATGGCGCTTTAAACGACTATGACGCTTAAGATGCCAGGTCAGGAGGCCGGCAGCAGAGTCTATTAAAGGCTCCCAAACGGCAGACACTCCTGAAACTCTGATTGGCTACTGCAACACACCCTCCACAAGAGGATGATGTCGGCTCTGCTGTCGCCCTTCATCCAGACGGGTGTGAGAGGTGGATGCCCGTCTGAATGTAAGAGCAGAGCCAACGGGAAACATCGGGTTACCGGGATCTCTGTGGGTCACCCGGGACACAGAGCTGTCGTCTGTAATGAGGCATATCACCACCAGAAGTTGGTTGGTTTTCCTCATATACACACTCACACACACACACACACACACGCTTCTCTGTGGGGATATCACTTAGACTTTGCTGTTTACTACCTACTCTCTGCTCTGTATTGCTTGTGTTTACTGTATATTTACTGTGTGTTGAATGCATTTCATTGTTATACAGCGATAATTGAGACCCTCTTAATTACCTTGGAGGGCCTGAGACTTTCAGTCACCAAAGGGATTCTTCGTCATGGCAGCTCAGTGAAACTCGCCCCATTGGAGGGGGGGGGGTTTGTGTCACTTTCATTAGTCTGAGGGCCATCACCTGGCTCAGTGATCAGATGATCCCCCAGAAGTCAAATACAACCAATCCCTCAAATCAAATCGATTCAGTAAGGCCTACAGGTGTGAACATACAATGATCTATGTGTCATCTTTAGAATAAGACAATAAAAATCTAAATTGGAACAGATACGTAGTGCACTTCATTTGTTTAGAGGTAGGAAAAGGAAATTATGTGTCATTTGAATTGTTTACTGTTTTACTCACTGTGTGTGCTGTGATTAATATTCAAGGTCACTTTGTATTCCCAAAGCACCCTGCCGAATATCCAGCAACGATTAGCCACAGGGCGAGAGAAGCCTGCTTTCCAGGCTGGTGCACACTGCTAGCCTGTCTGTTCCTGGTTGGACTAATGTGTGTGTCTGTGTGTCTGTGTCTGTTTGTGAGTGTATGTGTCTGTGTCTGTGTGTGTGTCTGTTTGTGAATGTGTGGATTAGGTTTATATTACATTGTGGGGACCAAATGTTGCCCACAACGTGATAAAAACCTGTCATTTTGACGTTGTGGGAATAATTTTTCAGGTCCCCACAAAGGTCAGTGAATGCAATCAGAAAACTAAAAATGCCAAAAGTTTCATATTTTGTTTGGTTACTCAGGATTAATGTTAGGGCTGGGTGGAGGTTAAGGTTGTCATGTTGAGATAAGGGTTTTCCCTTGGAAATATGGACTATCTAGGGGGCCCTAAGGACTGGATTGAGGAACACTGGCATATACACATTATATACATTATATTTTTCTGGGGACATTCCTTTCATTTTTATGGTGAAAACTAAGTAACCAAACAACTTACATCAAAAAAACTATTCGGACCCCACAATGTAAGCCTAATTCACACACACACACACACACACACACACACACACGCACATGTAGGGTAAATATATCCGCTCATTCATTTCAATGGGAGAAATGCTAACACTAACTATGACAACCCTAACCCTACCCTGCCCTAACCATAACATAAGTAACCAAACAAAATACAAGAGTTTTTGCATTTTTAGTTTTTTCATAGCAGTCACCGATTTTTGTAAAATAGAGTTTTTTTGTAAAAAACGGATATTTATCACGTTATGGGGACATTGTGTCCCCATAAGGATAGGTAAACCCACTGCGATACACACACACACACACACACACACATTCATTCATTGAAGCTTTGTTTTTATTGTTGTCTATTCTGCTGGGAATGGAGTGGAGACATTTCTAATGTCAGCTACATATCGCAATAGACCACACAAAAGAGGAACCGAAAGAGAAAGATGAGCATAAGCTTACCGTAAGATGACCGTAAGCCAAACACAAGCGGGGGCCATCATAGCTCATGAGGAGCATGAGTCAGTGGTGACTCCAGCCACTAAACCCAGCCATGACATACAGTATGACAGGACAGTATATAAAAGTGAATAATGACACCATACGTAAAGGTGTGTGACTATGTACATCACATGTACAGTCCCTCCTAATTCTCTTTGTCTGTTAAAATCTCTGTTAGACTCTCCATCTGGCTCTCTGTTCTCCAAAATAGCAAATAAAATCTTAATTTCGTTATACATCTGTACACGTACATTGAAATGCACGTTCACATATCCCATCATGATCTCCTTTTGTTTAAGGCGTACACACATAGAGGCCACAGCACAGGTTCAGCCGTCTGTCCGACACCCCAGGAGCCGTTCTCAGGGGGTTTAGGGCCCAACAGGATTCAAACTGGCAACCTTCCGATCACAAGCACAGAGGAAAATCCATTGAGCCACAAACTGCACATTAATTGTAGCATTTATAGAAAACACCATAAAGATCCTTGAGAACAGCAGCATGTCTGGCCTTATGCTTTATAAGGTCGGGGGAGGGGCCTATCTGCTCCATTATAAACGAATAGGGTTAGGCCGAGAGTCGACCACTCGCGCGGCATGGCTATGACTGGCCTTATGCTTTATAAGGTCGAGGGAGGGGCCTATCTGCTCTGTTATAAACGAATAGGGTTAGGCAAAGAGTCGACCACTCGCGCGGCATGGCTATGTCTGGCCTTATGCTTTATAAGGTCGAGGGAGGGGCCTATCTGCTCTGTTATAAACGTATAGGGTTAGGCAGAGAGTCGACCACTGGCGCGGCACCACCGCTGGTGGCCTTTGCTCATCTTTATTCCCATCCACCGAGGATAATGGTGGGGGGGCACTTACGGAAGAAGGTCATTTAAGCATTCACATGTGACCTTGGACTAAATTCCACAAGGAACCGAAGAACTGTTATTGAAATGACAACAATCAACAATCACAGAAATCAAGCAGGAAAGTATACCAAAGTATGCGTGGAAACTAGGGCCCGTGCCCCCTGAATGGATATTACCGGACGGACAGGAAAGTCACTCTGATGCAACTAACCAATTTTGGCTGAAGAAAAGTTTAAGCATTAAAGTGGCTTTCACAGCCTCATAGTGTGTGCAAAATAGGGAGGATTTCACTGTAAGACACAGTGAGACATGAGCTGAAAAGATTAATTGAAAACGTAAAGCAGATGCCGCCCTCCATCCCTGAGCAGAACGGGAATGAAAGGGGTGTTTATCACACTTTTATTTTATCTGCCTATTGCCCTCCTGCTGGTCTCACCTTAGACTATGGGAGTCACCATGGTGACCTTAGTGAAATCAGCAAGGCTGCTGGGTTTAAGTGAGGAGAGACATGAGTTTATATGGCATGTGTTAAGTAAGGAGGGACAGGTTTATACGGCATGTGTTAAGTAAGGAGGGACAGGTTTATATAGCACATGTTAAATAAGGAGGGACAGGTTATACTGTATGTATTAAGTAAATAGGGACAGGTTTATATGGCATGTGTTAAGTAAGGAGGGACACGGGTTTATCCAATATGTGTTAAGTAAGGAGGGAGACGGATTTATCCAATATGTGTTAAGTAAGGAGTGACAGGTTCATATGGCATGTGTTAAGGACAGATACATCCTTATTCAGTATGTGTGTGTCCATCAGAGGTGAGCAGGACACAGGGACAGCCTAGTGCAGCCTGTAAAATTCACTTTTTTCAGGCTTTATTTGTATTTTCCTCTGTTAATATGCCTCTTCACTTTACACTGGCCAGATTTATGTGCTTTGCAACTGGCGTCACACTTTTATAGGAAAGAAAACAGTTTCCCAATACTACACTCTTTTCTTTGAAGATAAAGTTCTGTGAACGTACACTGTAAGGGTGTGAAACCACGTCCGGTTTCGCTGTAACACTGGTGGGTGTCTCCCTGTCCTCTCACATAATACCACAGACGCACAACCAACTTCACTGCTGCGCTGAAGGTGCTGTCTCTGTAAGTGTTACCGCTCTTTTATTATTGGTTATTTATTTTAAAGTCACCTAAATGATGCTCCTGCTGGCCAGATAATGAGGGACTGAGTGAGCAGAATGTTTTCACAATGTATACATGTGTAATAATTCTGTTTGTTTACAGGTTACATTTTTTATATCTGTATTTTATAGGGAGTCAATCTGGCTGAAAATGAAATGGCACAGAAATTGACTCTTAGAAAGATTCATTTGAACTTAAGTACTTTTCTACTTGTTCTGAAACACATATGCACAAGATCTTATACAAAAACTTACTAAGTTCACTCTAAATCTTCAATAGCCTAATTCTTCTAATACTGAAATTAAAACCAATAAAAACTTTAAAACATCCCGGTGATACTTTACTTAAAGTCATGTTTTTAGTAATTTCGTAATGCATTCTTAACGAATAACAATGCATGCATTATGAATGTTTTATGAAGCTCTCATCAATAATGTACTATAAATACCTTTATAATGCATTATGATGGTCAGTCGAAGCATTACGGATGCTTTGTACTGCATTATAAAGATACCTGTAGGACATTATAGATGAGAGCTTCATAAAGCATTCATAATGCATAATACACATGGTTATATTGTGGTATGCCTTTTGATAAATATTTCTAAATTTGTACATATAAAATAAATTATATAAATATTAAATTAATTATCAATAGTTAGAATGCTTTATGAATGCATTATAATGCATCATGAATTTGTTTATAAATTACTAAAAACATGGGCTTAATTAAAATGTCACCAATATGCCTTTAAGCTCAGGAGAGGAAATTGAACACGACAGCACATCTACTGACACAGGAGAAAACGGGAGAGACTGACAGAAATACAGCACAACTACTGACACAGGAGAAAACGGGAGAGACTGACAGAAATACAGCACAGCTACTGACACAGGAGAAAATGGGAGAGACTGACAGAAATACAGCACAGCTACTGACACAGGAGTAAACGGGAGAGACTGACAGAAATACAGCACAGCTACTGACCCGAATGACTCTGGTAAAGGCCAAATCGTTATGGTCAGATGACTAGGTCAGAGCATCTCTGTAACGGCAAGGTCTGTGGGATGATCACGGTCAGCCGTGGTGAGTAGCCACTGAGCAAGATCCAAGGAGGGAAAAACCATGAATGCAGATTGGGTATTGGGTGGCCAAGACTCAAGGCGGGATGTGACTGAAGGCTGTGCTGTGTGGTACAAACCAACAGAAGGGCTACTGTGGCACAAATGGCAGATCATTTTGGTGATGATCGCAGGAGTAATCTGTCACAACACACAGTGCATGAGCCCTGTTGCATTATTCTTTTCATATGGGGATGGTCATAATCTTTAGGTTCATCATGACCATTATTTGATTATACGTCATGTCAATATTAGGTTCCTTGACTACAGTTTTAAATGTCACACCAAGTGTAATTATATTGCGTAGAAACATGTGTTACAGGAGGATACACCCAGAGTTAGCCCTGGGTGCGGTATTCTGTGGCGATAAGCGGTGACAGTCAGGTAGCATTAATATTTATGAATTCTGGGCCAAACCTCCGTCACAAATGATACCAATGCTCTAACATCATTGCCTGAGACTGAATAATTCATAACTCTGCCAGAGCTGCTGTGTGAGGAGCGTGGAAACGGGTCATGTGTGCCGTCCAAGTGTGCAGGGTCACGTGTGCGGTCCAGGGCCGCCACTCGAAGCGGAGCCTTTCCATATGCTCACACTACTGACCCACCATCTCCTGCGTCTCCTTCTTATGGAAACGCATCTTTTGAGGCAAATTGTTTTTTGTCTAATTATTTTGCTACTTCTTCTGAAGTGAAAAAAAATTAAACATACATCACTGGCGGACTTAGAGCCCCTGACGTGAGGAATAACGCTACGGTAACAGAAAGTTAAAGTGGTGTTTAAGAAAGCAATTGAACATAAGACTTGTATAATATTCTGGGGTAGAATAATTCACTTGTGCAATACAATTGCTCTTTTCAAGATGTCCAATTACACAGCTATAAAAGCAATCAGACTGTTTTTTAAATACCTGTGCCTGTGGAAGCCTTAACGGAAAGTGTGTCATTATTATTTCTTGTGGCCTAATTCTGGACTGAAAAAATGAAGGCGAACAGTTTGTACAAAATGCTGTCTGATGAGACGTGACCTTTTGTGTTTTGCTGCTGTCAGGTGAAGATGGACCTGCCGTCCAATCAGAGCACTTCAGAAGCTCTCACTGTCCAAGCATGTGGCATAGACTTTAACCAAGACGCCGCCTTATTCTCAGTCTTATACTCCATCTTCTTTGTCTTTGGCACACCACTCAACATCCTGGCTCTCTACGGCCTCTACAATTTAATCAGGTGCGAGAACATCCTGCCCATCTTTGTCATCAACCTGCTGCTTTCCAACCTGCTGCAGCTGTCGACCTTGCCGCTGTGGATAGACTACTACAGAACGGGCCATTACTGGAGGTTCAAGTCCATTGGGTGCTATGGAGTGACCCTCATCTTCTACATCAGCATCTACGTTGCGATCTTCTTCAAGTGCCTGATCGCGCTGGAGCGCCACCTAGCCATCGCCTGGCCGCACAAATTCCAAGCTGTGCAGAAGCTGAGGAGTGTGGTGTGTCTGTCTGTGGCCGTGTGGCTCGCTGTGGCAGTGCCCCCACTGGCTTCTATAAACACCATGTTCCACGGACAGAACAAACACCTCTGCAATGAGAATTATCCTGCCAAAATGGAAACCATCATTTACCGCCTCATCACCCTGGCTCTCTCCTTCATCCTGCCCTTCTCTTTCATTTCGATCTTGCACATGCAGACCCTCAAGTGCCTGGCGGGGCTTCCTTCATCACGGGCCGAGGAGAAGAGACGCATATGTGCTTTCTTAAGCTTCCTGGTAGTCATCTTCGTGGTGGTGCTGGGACCATACCACCTCACCGGCTCCATCAAGTACATCGGGCTGGTGTTCAATCCCGGGGACTGCGAGTGGGAGAAGTCCGTGTTCCTGCCGTATCAAGTGGGCCGTGCTTTGCTGAGCCTGAACACCTTGCTGGACCCCATCATGTACATCTTCCTACGTACTGACTTCAGGGAGCTATTGCAGACCCATCTGTCCTGTCTCAGAGGATCCTAGTAAGGAACTTTATGAAAAGTCCCCTAAGAGGAGGACCAGGAACTGCACCCAAGAACGCAGTGCCTCTCTCTATGAAGTTGCTGGTTTCCCTATGATACTCTTGACCACTCAGGTATATTGTGTTTGAATGTTGTAAGCCATGTTAGCCACCTGGATGTTGTGCGCTGAGGCCTGACCTTCTGGGTACAGGCTGGACTTTATGGACTCTGTAATGGGGATGAGTCAGGCAGCAGCTGCACAGTCACCATGCAACAAGGAGTCAAACAGGAAGTGAGAGAAGCTGCATCATCGGGTCAAGCACGGGAAGGAAATTAACAGTAAGAAGAAAGCTCCAGTATTAACGACTTCATTAATTCGTTCATTATCTGCCTGCGTTTGTGATCATGCACAGCAGCAGCACATCTGCTTCAGCCTAGCGGCAAATTCACACACATTCATCATCATACTTCCTTGGTTTCTGCATAACAGCATGCCTAATAAATTTAACTCAGAGTCCTGTCACCAGTGCTCTTTACCTGCTGGTGAGTCCCTAAGACATTTTCCTTAGACCTGTATTATGAGGTGAAAACCTCAGACAACAATGACTCAAATTTCTCCAGTTTTTGATTTGCGAATTTCTGTTTTTATATCACAGATAAGCGTAGAAATTAAATTATGCAGCTATTTGGAAAAATCACTTTATCTCTCTCACAAGAATCTCCAAATATGTGATTAAAATGCATTTTAAATCCAGCATCTAAGCCACTGCTTCCCTTGACCTTCATTGATCATGTATTGGTATAAAATTGCAGTTATTTGTCACCTAACTTATTGATGTTCTATTAAAAACCTCTCTAACAATTCAATGGGGATTTTCACGAGGAAAAAAATTCAGAAAGCAAAGATGCCCGGTGGGTTAAAAATGAGGCAGGCAGTATTCCTTCCAAAAAAACGAAGGCGGGCCTTTAGCAAGAGCAGGCCCGCCGTCTGCAAAGCGGCCTACGAGGCTGCACTCGGAGGCTCCATGGCCGAATTCCCTGCACAGAAGCTGTCGAGCACCATAGGTAAGGAAGACCCTAACATTCAGCAGTTCACAGCGGCTGTCCTGGAAATTACCAGTAAGCTGCTGTGACAGGCCGCGCCCATTTGACAAGACCATTTCTGAGGGGGCGTCGACTTACAAGCCAGGGGTGCCAGCGATGGCACTCGTCTATGGTGCCATGTGAGCTTAGACTGACCAATAAACCCAGTCATCAAAGGTGAATGAGAAAACGGTCTTGCGTGAAAAGTTAAATGCTCTATACCTATGGTTGGCCTACTAACAGCTTAAGGTGCACAATAAACACATGAATGGAAACTAATTATGATAAACCCCATGCCCAGGTTAACAAAGAAAATCAATGTTATAAATCACAATGTAACCGGCTATTGTGAGAGATTCGCACATCACAACTGGTGCTCCTTTCATGACTGATTGATGCATGCGCTTGATTTTATGACTGACAATGTAATTGAATATCTGTTCATATCTTAAAAATCGTTTCTCTCCGCTGTAACAGTCTTCACTGGTGCTGCGTGTTTTGGGTTCTCTGCAGCATGGCAGAGAGCAGAAGGCTTTCTGCTTTCCCGGAGCATGACGCCGGAGCCCAGACTGAGCCGGCGTGACGCAGCCTCAAGGCAGGACATTTCAGCAGATTAGGAGGAATTCTCAAATCACCTTGGGGGGGGGGGGGGGCGTACGTTACTGTGCAAAACCCAGCGGGGCTCATGTGTAAAATGCAGATTTCACTGAAACACCGAGTGGGGGAGCGATGTGGACATTGTGGTCTAAGGAGCCCCTCTACTAGGCCCAAACAGTGACCCTGATGAAATTATAGCAATTTAATATATAGATATTTAATTTGTATTTCATTTATTTGCCTTCCAAAGAGCTTTGTTTTTATTATATTCCCATCTATGATGTACAAATGGCCGCCGTTTTTCCTACAGGAGAGCCAAGGCTGGGCGGCTTCCTAAGTCTGACTACTTGTGGACAGTCTCCCCTGTGACCCCCCCCCACCACCTCTACCACAGTCTATGAATTCTGGCTTTCATGCCGAACTCGACCAGATACCCCTGCAGGCCCAGAAAGACGGAGTCTTCATAAATATTCGAATCATAAACTTGCCATTTAATCAGCCTCGTCGCACAGCATGCGCATCACTGCATCAAAGAGGTGCGCTGGCTGGCCGTCACGCTACCTTTGGGTTCCTCACGCATTAAACACGCGGTGAGTCGCAGATTACCCTGAATCCTCCTCCCACCTCACCTTGCTGCCACCGTTTCCATTAGGAGCAGCAAATCTCGTTTGTTGATAAAAGTATTATTATGGCGGGAACTGCTAGTGAAGGGCTCCTACTTGCCAGCCGATAGCCGAGATCCCTGGCCCTCGGGTATTGATCCATCGGGCCGCGTTCTGGGCTGATCCTTATCGGTGGGGGGCCTTATCTCCACCTCACAGGGACTTCACTCATTCCCAGTACAAGTTCTGTGCATAGATTTTCCGTGTGAAAATATGCCATTTGATTTATATCGAACCCATCCCATTTATTGCGGTTTCCACTGCGCCTGTGAGTTTGTAAACAGGTTGCAGGCGCACGATGAGGGGCGGCCAGCCAGCATGTCTCAGGGGTGCGACTGTCTTGATCTGTGGGCACATCGCTATTGGGAAATCAGCTGCATATCTTTCACAGGATACGTTATTTGAACTCGACCGCGTCTAGGTTTTCAAAGCTGAAACAACAGCATGAAATTATCTGGCCTTTTCCATATTAACCCATAAATATGAACGTGGTCAGGTGCTCTGCAAAGGCACCGACCTTCTGCCATGGCTGGCGGTGCGGCCTCCGTCACCACGTCCCTGCGACGGCCTCCCTCACCGCGTCCCTGCGACGGCCTCCGTCACCACGTCCCTGCGGCGGCCTCCGTCACCACGTCCCTGCGACGGCCTCCCTCACCACGTCCCTGCGACGGCCTCCCTCACCACGTCCCTACGAAGGCCTCCTTCATCACGTCCCTGCGACGGGCACTCGAAATGCGAGGTTTTCTGCCAGCTATTTCAAGCTTCCCTGAAATTCACACTAAAACCAGCTCCCACAAGCTGGAGTGTTACAGCAGAGCAGCTCAGGGATTAAAAAAGATAACAGAAAAATGGAAGATGAGGGATGTTTTTTTTCCTGCCCTTCATAAGACGAGCACTTCACTGTCAGCACCGTCAACAAGGGGGTCCCTTCTCAGAAATGTCAGGGAAGAGCTGACACGTGGGATTGTTGTGTCTTCTTCAGGATGCAGAAGAAAAATCATGAAATTAAAATGTTGGTGGATTCTCTCCCCCACCCCAGCCTTGGCACAGAGACATAATCATTCCTGCTTCGATTGTGACGGATGATCGTCGTTCTGTGCCTATAGCCTTCACAGGTGTTAAAAGGTCAAAATCAGCTCATTCTCAGCAAGCTGATGTTGGAAGCTGCCGGGAAAAATGACGGCAAGCCAGCCTGGCAGTGTGTTTTCCGGGCTATTTGTGGCTTCGTTAACGGCTTAGCGGCTCCTTTATTTTAAGGGCGTGAGACGAGCTGCTCGCAAATGGCGGGAGGGGCACTCGCCACATTTAAATAGTGTAGCTTCACCTTGTTCTGGCCCTTCAGGCTTTTCAAAGGAGAACCGTCTATTTCAAGGTGCAGCCAGTGACCTTAGCAGAGATTGTCTCTAACATTCAAATTCATGAGGCCTTTTTTTCAGAGAGAACAGGGACTAGAGTAAGAAGATGGCATTTAAAGAGGATAGATATGGGATGAGAGGTCTCCAATTATAACAGGGCCTACAGCTGCAGCGAGTGCACCTGCTACAACCATGGCAGATGGCAGCCAGCCGCGTGTCGTCCTATGCGTGTGTGTAGACCGGAGGAGAGCCGCGCGTCGTCCTATGCGTGTGTGTAGACCGGAGGAGAGCCGCGTGTCGTCCTATGCGTGTGTGTAGACCGGAGGTGAGCCGTGTGTCGTCCTATGCGTGTGCGTAGACCGGAGGAGA